GGGCATCGCGGGGTGCGGGCGGGTGCGAGGGGTCCGCTTCTCCTGGACTAGAAGAGAAGGGAGGCGGGTTACAGGTGGAGTCTGGATTATGGGGTTGTTGCCTCCAGGGAGGCTGCCTGGGTAGCGCCCAGAGTAAACCCAGTGCCTGGAACACTTCCCTCAGCGCTGTGCAGGCCAAGTACCTTCAAATCTAGGATGAAGCTTTCACTCATCCATCCATCCATCCATCCATTCATTCAACAAATACCAACTCAGTGGATCCTGGGCACTGGGGTCACCGCAGAGAACAAACAGGAAAGGTTGCAGGAACTCAGTTCTAGTGGAGGAACCAACACATGGATAAGCAGAAATAACCTCCATACTTTAAAAATAATGAGGAGTGACATGAAGGAATTGTCATGTGAGAGGAAGCCAGGAGGACAAGGAGGAGTCAGGCATTTGATCAGGATGGAAGAATGTTCCAGAGTTAATAACAAATGCAAAGGACCTGAAGGGTCCGGCCTGTCTGTGTGCAGTTGGTTGGAGGGTGTGTTGTGGCTGAACAGGAGAGGGTCAGGGCCTTGGAGATTGTCACGATGAGAAACTTGGATTTTCTCTGAATGAGATAGGGATAATTGGATGGTTTTAAGCTGTAGAGTGATTATATTTATATATAATATTTAAAAATAGATTTCAGAGAGGGAGGGGGAGAGTTAGAAACATCAATGGTGAGAGAGAATAGTTGATTGGCTGCCTCCTGCACGCCCCCTGCTGGGGATGGAGCCCACACATGGGCACAGGTCCTGATGGGTAATCTAACGGTGACCTCCTGGTTCATAGGTCAACGCTCAACCACTGAGCCACGCAGGCCAGCTGGAGTGATTTATATTTTAACAAGATCCCTCAGGCTGCTGTGTGTGAAGACAGGGTGGAGAGTGGCCAGCCCAGATCAGAGAGGAGCCTCCTGCAATGATCCAGGTGGGCAACAATGGTGGCTCAGAGCAGAGGGGAGACAGTGCAAGTAGAGAGAAGTGGTCGGCTTCTGGATCTCTTCTGGAACTAGAGCAGATGGGACTCACAAGGCATGGTTGGGGGAGAGGAGTGGATGAGAGACACACAGGACTCGGGACAAGTCCAAGGGTTTTGGCTTGAACAACTGGTAGGACCATTTAGTAGGTAAGAGGTGAGGGATGGGGAAGAATGGGGAAAAACTGTGAGAGGGTTAGGTTTAAGGCAGAGAATCTGGAATCTCATTTGATCATAGGAGAGTTGAGGTCCTTTGCTCTGCAAGTCTTTCCTGAACCCTGGGTTGGGTCTGGCGCCTCCTCTAGGCTCAAACGGCCGCCATGATCGCCCCCTAGGCCATCCCTGACCCCTCTAGGCGGTAAGAGGACAGAGGAGCGTGCGCTTGCATTGCACCCAGCTTGGGTGGTGGGAACGAGGAGTCAGACCCAGCTGCTGAGTCTAAAGCGGGTCGCCTGGAGACAGGCATTGGGGGATCAAGGAGAGGAGAGCGATCTCTGCAGGTATGGCTACCGGAATGCGTGGGAGAGAAACATGGAGAACACCAGCTTCTACGTGGCAGCGAGACAAAGGGCCGAGTCCAGCCCGCCACTCACCTGAGCTGAACCCGCGCTGGTAGGTCCAGGCTTCCAGAAAACGCGGAAGTGGGTAAACAGACTACGACTCCCAGAAGGCTTCAGGTCTACTCGCCTACGACTCCCAGGAGCCCGCGGTAGGAAGCGCGGGCTTTTCTCGGACAGACTACAACTCCCTGTGAGCTTCGCGCGCTGACGTCACTCGCCGGGCTTTTCTCGGACAGACTACAACTCCCTGTGAGCGTCGCGCGCTGACGTCACTCGCCCCGCCCGCCCGCCGGCCTCAGAAGGCTGGGGGCCCCTCAGATTCACTTTGCGCCTGCGCCGGGAGCTGGAGCGGCGCCTGGTTTCTGTGTTCTGTTGCGCGCTGTGTACTGTGCAGTTTATTCCAAAGATGGAGAGGATATTTTTCAGATTTCGTGCTTTCTTGGGAGTATGATAGAGTTTGCGGTTGGGGAGGCTTCGGGGTGGGGGAAAATTGGGTGGGTTGCGAAAGGGAGAGGTAGCGCTGGCGCTGGACAGGTTCCGAGGGGACACTGGGTGCGCACCCCCGCGGGGTGGCAGTTGGGTGCGTGCGGGGAGCGGATAGGGTCGGGTTTACGGTTCTCTACACGAGCTGCGGGCTCGGGGCGTGGATCCCGTTAGCGGTGATGCGCAGGTGTGGTCCGTAACCAGTGCGCCCGCCTTCTGCCTGGTGGCGTTGAACGCAGAGCTCCGGATGGAGGACAGGTGAGACCCGTGAAACGGAGGGTTCCCGGGGGCACAAGCCCCCAAAACAAAAACAAGACAACGGAGGGCCTCCCCAGATCCAAGCCCCCTCTCCTGTGTGTTATTGTCTGAGTTCCTCTTGTGTCTAACACAGTGAGGTCCTTGATCGGGAAGATTGAGAGTGACGGATGATGGGGGGCTCCTGTTGGAAGGGTTAAACCCTGGCCATTAGACTCATTCATTTGTTCATCATTTCCTGAGGCTTCCTTCGTGCCAGGCCCGTCTTGTGAGACACGGCTGCATCCGGACTGGTTGGGGAGATAGGGATGATAAAGCCCAGAGGTTGTACAGAGAGGGAGGGGGAGAGTTAGAAACATCAATGGTGAGAGAGAATAGTTGATTGGCTGCCTCCTGCACGCCCCCTGCTGGGGATGGAGCCCACACATGGGCACAGGTCCTGATGGGGAATCTAACCGTGACCTCCTGGTTCATAGGTCAACGCTCAACCACTGAGCCACGCAGGCCAGCTGGAGTGATTTATATTTTAACAAGATCCCTCAGGCTGCTGTGTGTGAAGACAGGGTGGAGAGTGGCCAGCCCAGATCAGAGAGGAGCCTCCTGCAATGATCCAGGTGGGCAACAATGGTGGCTCAGAGCAGAGGGGAGACAGTGCAAGTAGAGAGAAGTGGTCGGCTTCTGGATCTCTTCTGGAACTAGAGCAGATGGGACTCACAAGGCATGGTTGGGGGAGAGGAGTGGATGAGAGACACACAGGACTCGGGACAAGTCCAAGGGTTTTGGCTTGAACAACTGGTAGGACCATTTAGTAGGTAAGAGGTGAGGGATGGGGAAGAATGGGGAAAAACTGTGAGAGGGTTAGGTTTAAGGCAGAGAATCTGGAATCTCATTTGATCATAGGAGAGTTGAGGTCCTTTGCTCTGCAAGTCTTTCCTGAACCCTGGGTTGGGTCTGGCGCCTCCTCTAGGCTCAAACGGCCGCCATGATCGCCCCCTAGGCCATCCCTGACCCCTCTAGGCGGTAAGAGGACAGAGGAGCGTGCGCTTGCATTGCACCCAGCTTGGGTGGTGGGAACGAGGAGTCAGACCCAGCTGCTGAGTCTAAAGCGGGTCGCCTGGAGACAGGCATTGGGGGATCAAGGAGAGGAGAGCGATCTCTGCAGGTATGGCTACCGGAATGCGTGGGAGAGAAACATGGAGAACACCAGCTTCTACGTGGCAGCGAGACAAAGGGCCGAGTCCAGCCCGCCACTCACCTGAGCTGAACCCGCGCTGGTAGGTCCAGGCTTCCAGAAAACGCGGAAGTGGGTAAACAGACTACGACTCCCAGAAGGCTTCAGGTCTACTCGCCTACGACTCCCAGGAGCCCGCGGTAGGAAGCGCGGGCTTTTCTCGGACAGACTACAACTCCCTGTGAGCGTCGCGCGCTGACGTCACTCGCCCCGCCCGCCCGCCGGCCTCAGAAGGCTGGGGGCCCCTCAGATCCACTTTGCGCCTGCGCCGGGAGCTGGAGCGGCGCCTGGTTTCTGTGTTCTGTTGCGCGCTGTGTACTGTGCAGTTTATTCCAAAGATGGAGAGGATATTTTTCAGATTTCGTGCTTTCTTGGGAGTATGATAGAGTTTGCGGTTGGGGAGGCTTCGGGGTGGGGGAGAAATGGGTGGGTTGCGAAAGGGAGAGGTAGCGATGGCGCTGGACAGGTTCCTAGGGGACACTGGGTGCGCACCCTCGCGGGGTGGCAGTTGGGTGCGTGCGGGAAGCGGATAGGGTCGGGTTTACGGTTCTCTCCACGAGCTGCGGGCTCGGGGCGTGGATCCCGTTAGCGGTGATGTGCAGGTGTGGTCCGTAACCAATGCGCCCGCCTTCTGCCTGGTGGCGTTGAAGGCAGAGCTCGGGATGGAGGACAGGTGAGACCCGTGAAACGGAGGGTTCCCGGGGGCACAAGCCCCCAAAACAATAAAAAAACAACGGAGGGCCTCCCCAGATCCAAGCCCCCTCTCCTGTGTGTTATTGTCTGAGTTCCTTTTGTGTATAACACAGTGTCCTTGATCGTCGGGAAGATTGAGTGATGGATGATGGGGGGCTCCTGTTGTAAGGGTTAAACCCTGGTCATTAGACTCATTCATTTGTTCATCATTTCCTGAGGCTTCCTTCGTGCCAGGCCCGTCTTGTGAGACACGGCTGCATCCGGACTGGTTGGGGAGATAGGGATGATAAAGCCCAGAGGTTGTAAGTGCTGCTAACTAGGACTTGGGGGGCGGGGGTGGGGGACGGTGGAAGTGGGGGAGCAGCACTGAATGAGCAGTCCGCCTGTGCCAGACACCGCTTGGCACTTCCCACGCACCATCTCAAATTCCTCCGCTGTAAAGTGGGGATGGCAACAATAGTACCCACTCAATGAGTTAACAGGGCAATTTACTGTGTATTGACCAAACAGTAAGCTTTCATTATCTTCATCTCATTTAATTCTCATAATTCAGGGAAGGCTTCCTTTTCTGGGCCTGGCATTGCTATTCAGAATGTTGCCCACTGGCCACACATGGCTAATGGCTATTTGGACTGCAGCTAGTGTGAATTGGGCTGTAATGTAAGTGCAAAATACGTACCAGGTTAGAAGGTTTTATGTGAGAAAAGGATGTAAAATCCCTCACTAGTTTTGATTGCATGTTGAAACAATAATATTTTTTATGTATTGGGCTAGTCGCTAGTGTCACATTAAAATGAATTGTGCCCGTTTATTTTTACTTTATAAATGAGGCCAATAGAAAATTTAAAATTAACATCCATGATATATTCGGCGCTGCTCCAGACCACAGTCTCAGCAAATAGTAGCATCACCCTGCCACACTCCCCTTTTCATTTATAGGTTTTTATCACTATCTGAAGTTATCTATTTTCTTGCTTGTCTTTTCCACCAGAAAGTAGGTTTCATGGAGGCAGAGGTTTTTGTTGATTTTGTTTCTGGTTGTTTCCTTGGTTCACACCATAATGCCTGGATGCTTAGTAACTATAGATGGGTAAATAAGTGGGTGCTCAACTTTTTTTTATGGGTGATGATGGGGGCCCACAGATGGGTCATGCCCAAGTTCTACCCTCTCATGGCTCCCAGGCTGGTGAGGGAGAGAAACTAGATACATATCATTCCAGTTCTGGTGACCAAAGCTGTGACAGCAGAGATACCAGGGACCAGGAGAGCCCATAGTGTAGATGAGAATAAAGGACTTAGACAAGACAAGGAGCATTTGTGCTGGCTCTTGAAGGATGAGTAGGAGTCTGTCAGGTGGAGAAGAGATCTACTGCATTCATTCATTCATTCCTCCATCCATCCAGTCATCATCCATTTCCTGGGGCCTCCTGTGCTGAGAAATGCTGAGGACCCAGAGATGAGTCAGTCCTGAACCTGCTCTCCTTAAGCCCCTAGTCTGATGGGGGAGGTTGACATGGACAGTCACAATCCACAATGATCAGAGTGGGTTGAAGGGAATACTGAGGCTATGGAAGCCCCTAGTGGCAACTTGGTGCTTGTGGCATGAAAGGGAAGGGCACCCAGAATGAGCAGGAGTAGGGCTGGTCCCTTCTATGCAAAATGCTGGAGATAGCGCTAGCAGGTTTGGCTCAGTGGATAAGAGCGTCGGACTGTGGATTGAAGGGTCCCAGGTTCGATTCCCGTCAAGGACACATGCCTGGGTTGCAGGCTGGATCCCCAGTAGGGGGCGTGCAGGAGGCAGCCAATCAATGATTCTCTCTCATCATTGATGTTTCTATCTCTCCCTCTCCCTTCCTCTCTGAAATCAATAAAAACATATTTTAAAAATGTTGGAGATAAGAGAGAACCTGGACCATTCCTGGAATAACGTTGAGTTCCTGTCGCACCCTGACATAAGCACATTGCCTGTCTTGGCACGATGAGCCTGATCCAGCAATAAACCTGTTTTTACAGACAAGGACATCAAGTGTTAGGGAGGCTGAGTTGCCCGACCAAGGGAGCAGTCCAGCTGGCATCCAGTGTGACCAAAGTGTTGAACCAGGCTGACGAGACGAGGCTGCAGACGTTCACAAGACAGGTTTTCCGCACAGATGATGTGGCCTTGGGAAGTGTCTCACTCTGGTCTCCCCTCTGTGGAGTGTGCAAAGCCCGTCAGGGAAGGATGGCTGCGGGAGACTGGGACTGAGACCCATGGTGCAAAAGTGAGGGGTTTGCAAAATGGGAGGAATGACCTGTTTTCTTTCCCAGAATGGAACAGCAGAGGGGGCTCCTGTTATTACTTCTGGGCTTACAACTGCTGATGATGGGGGCGTTACTCTGCCCAAACCACCACCTCCATAGCTTCACCTCCTCCTTGCGCTTCCTCACACAAGACAAGCCGGAGGTGGGAGAAGAAGAGCTGTCCTTTGTGGTCCAGGAATCCTCTCCAGGAATCCCTCGCCAGGATGTGTACTCAAACATCAGCCAGATCCACCACGTGGACATCAGAAGGGAGGATTTGCCCAACTGCCCCATCGTCTCACCCTACATCAGTAAGCTTGTGGGAGGCCTCTATGCCCCCACCCCCACTTCGGGCTTTGGGGAGCTGGCTTCAGGGGGTGGGGGTCAGAACCTGGAAGCAGAAGCTGTGGGCCTGGTAGCTGGGGGTGATGGGGAGAGAGTTGATTCTCTATTACTGAATCATAAGGAATCACCCCAAGACTTCGTGTCTTTAAACCTTCATTGACTCTCAAAGTTTATGAGGGTCAGGAGTATTGGGAAGGGCCCAGCTGAGTAGTGGTCCATGTTTTTTTTTCTTCTTAATCCTCACCCAAGGGATATTTTTTCCATTGCTTTTTAGAGAGAGGGAGAGAGAGAGAGAGACAGAGAGAGAGAGAGAGAGAGAGAGAGAGAGAGAGAGAGAGACTTTGATTGATTGCCCCCTGCACGCGCCCTGACTGGGACTAGGGATCAAACCTATGATCCAGGTACATGCCCTTGACCTGGAATTGAACCCATGACCCTTTGGTGTGTGGGCCAATGCTCTAACCATTGAGAAGCTCTGGCCAGGGCCACAAGGCCTTCTTATAAGGACACCAGCCATTGGCTTCAGGGCCAAACCTAATCCAGTAGAACCACGTTTTAACCAATTGTGTCTGTGAGGACCCTATTTCCAATCAAGGTCACATTCTGAAGTTCTGGGTGGATAGGAAATTTGGGGGTGGGGAATGATTCAATCCAGTAAAACTGGGGTGTGGGGTTTCTGGGGTAGGTTCCTGATCATCTCTAGCCTCTCCCTCTCTTAGGTGGCCCCTTGAAGGTGATGATCCAAGAGAACTTGACAATGGAGCAGGTGGTGGAAAAGAACCCACTGGTGGAGCTGGGAGGCCAATACCAGCCACCCAACTGCTGGACACGGCACCACACAGCAATAGTGGTACCCTACTATGGGCAAGCCCAGCACCTGCAGCACCTGCTCTTCCACCTGCACCCCTTCCTGCAGCGCCAGCAACTGCATTATGCCATCTATGTGGTGAATCAGGTGTGGCAGGAATGGGGAGGGGTCAAGGGCGAGAGGGCAGAGGGCTTTTAGCATGAGTTTGAACAATCAGAGCTGAAGTTGCCACTGTGAACTGAGAGTGTCTGGGTGAGGCAAGCCCAGCACCTGCAGCACCTGCTCTTCCACCTGCACCCCTTCCTGCAGCGCCAGCAACTGCATTATGCCATCTATGTGGTGAATCAGGTGTGGCAGGAATGGGGAGGGTCAAGGGCAGAGGGCTTTTAGCATGAGTTTGGACAATCAGAGCTGAAGTTGTCGCTGTGAGCTGAGAGTGTCTGGGTCACAAGGGGTGAATTAAAGGGGTTTGGGATCAGTTAGATGCTTGTTTGAATCCTGGTCTTGTCCATTACTACATGTGTTATCTGAGTGTGGGACCATGTGTTCGTCCATCCATCCATCCATCCATCCATCCATCCATCCATCCCATGTTGCCGGAATAACTAGGAATAATAACCTTGGGGAACTTACCCTCTGTGCATGGTTTTCTCCCCATGAGACAACAATGATAATAACACCTGCATTATTGTGTTGTGGGAAAAATTAATCGACTTAGTGAATGTATAGCAGTGAGGCGAATGCCTGGCACATAGTAGGCGCTCAATAAATGATAGGATGATGATGATTATAATGATGATGATGATGATTATTTTGATGATGGTAATGATTGTTTTGATGGTGATGATTCTGGTAATTATGGTGACAGTTAAGATGCTGTTGCTAACAGTGGTGACGATGATGGTGACAGAGGTGATAGTGATAATTGTGTTCATGGTGATGATGGTGGTGATGCTAATAGTGATAATGGAGTTAATGTGATTATGTTGAGGTAATGATGGTGGTGGTGATGATCATGATGATGATGATGATGCTGTTGCTAACAGTGGTGACGATGATGGTGACAGTGGTGATAGTGTTAATTGTGTTCATGATGATCAAGGCAAACCCTGTCATGGTTCCTGGGCATCAGACCCAGTCATTGTCTGGTCAGAACAGAAAAAGACCCAGGTGGTCCCTGATCACTCCTAACCTCTGCCTCCCTCAGATGACCTCTTGAAGGTGATGATCCTTGAGAACCTTGAAGATGGCTGAGGAGGGAGAGCTGAGAGGCTGAAGTTACTGACTCTGCCTAGGATGGTGGGGGATGGGGATCCAAGAAAAGTTTCCCAGGGGAGGTAACCTTTACATTGTACCTTTCTGGAAAAGTGTGGGTTTTCCAGCTCCACAGTGGGAATAAGAAGGGGTTCCAGGCAGGAGAACAGGACTTGAAAAGGTGAGAAGGATGGGTGAGGCAGGTGAGAGAACACCACTGCCTGCTGATGAGGACTGCATTGAGCATCTCTGTCCACCAGGTGAACAACACCGCCTTCAACCAGGGCAAGCTTCGCAATGTGGGGTTCTGGGAGGCCATGCAAGAAGAGGACTGGGACTGCGTCTTCTTCCACGATGTGAACCTACTGCCAGAGGACAACCGCAACCTCTACATCTGTGACATCTTCCCTGCCCACGTGTCTGTGGCCATCGACAAGTTCAACTACAAGTAGGTGGAGGGAGGGGGACTGTTGGCCAGGCCCTGCTCTTCCCTGAATCGTGCCCTGTTCATATGTATGATCCAGACCCTGATCCCTGGGGTGAGGCAGGGAGGGGATGACGGGGCTTGAGCAAAGACCTCATAGACAGTGAAGAATCTTCCTCGTGGATGTGGATGCCAAGTAGGGATGGAATTGGTTATTAATAAGGGAGTCAGGATGCACCTAATAAAGTGGTAGGCAAACAGGTTTTTAACTGAGGTCAGAGAATGGGAATGAGTGATAGGAGGGGCCAGGTAAGGGTCAGGAAGGGGGCCATCATTGGGGTCACAAGATGGGCTTGTCAGATGATTCAGGGAGTGGGTATGGGTCGGAGGAGAGGTTATCACAGGGGTGAGTGGAGAAGGGCTAACCCAGAAATTAACCTTGGAGATCCTGGCCAGGAAAGGATCAGGGCCTATTACCTGAACTTCTTTGTGTTTCCAACTCTCTCTGCCATCTCTAGGCTGCCCTACCGAGGCTACCTTGGAGGGGTGTTTGCCCTGCGTCCAGTTCACTACCTCAAGATAAATGGCTTTCCCAACACGTACTGGGACCGGGATCGTGAGGACAATGACATCGCTGCCAGGTGGGGAGGCCTTGCTCTAGGGAGCCTAGCAACAGGGCTGCAGATTCCTCCGTGATGTGGGAACTACAGGCTGCCCTAGACTGAGCGGGACATGGGCCACCCTGGCCTGAGAGGCTGCGCTGTGGCCTGGGGAACCTATCAGGGGAGACAGGCATTTAGCATCTGCCCTCTTCCCTCTAAGGCTGGACCTAAACGGATGCTCCTCTCACGACCCCATCTGCTCTTTGGCCACTACCACATGCTGGAGGAGGGGCTGGACCACAGCCATGAGCAGAGTCCCAAGAGGTGAGTCAGGGTTGGAGTGGGGTGGCCGGTTCTGGGCCATCCCTGAGCCCTGGGCTCACATGGCTATTGCTCCCCCCAGTCCTGGCTTCCTGGCCGAGATCCAAAGCAGGTGGCAACAAGATGGTGTGAACTCACTGGGCTACACGCTGCTGTCCAAGGAGCTGCAGCCTCTCTACACCAACCTCACCGTGGACATCACCGTCCCAGCCCCAGGAGCCCCAGTGCCAAGCTGAGGGTTATCTGGAGGCTGGAACAGAATCCCTAAGATGGGCTGCAGGGAAGCCCTCTGACCTGCCTCACCTGGTTTCTTATTAAAGGAGAGTTTATTTTACTTGATTCTTCTCTCTGACATCCCTAATCCTCCATCCATCCATCCATCCATCCATCCATGCATTGTCCCACTCAGATTCACCAAGCGCTGGTTCTCCCCACACAGTTCCAAGTGCTTAACACACACACACACACACACACTTCTCATGCAAACTCATGGGGTAAGCACTATTATAATCTTCCTCTTGAAAACCAGGACAGATGAATTAAATGACTTGCCCAGTTGATGTAGAATTAAATACAGGAACCTGGATCCTGGGCCTGTCCACTTAAAGATGATGCTATTCTGCTTTTTGTAGTGAACTGAAAAAAAAGGGAGTGGGGGGAGAATGAATAAAAAAATGTGAGGATGGTTGGATAAATTATAGCATGTACACATGATAGAATACCATGCAGATATTGGATAGCTGTATTGTGTGAAAAGAACAAGTACACATGTGTATGGTATGATTTGGTATTTATAAAACAGGAAAGAGTTCCTATGTAGATGTATGATTATGAGCATACTAATGAGTGTATGTGGATAACAGATGTTGGCAAACTTCTTCTGTAAAGGGCCAGAGAGTATATATTTTTGGCTTGTAGATAACATGGTCATTAACACAATTAACTCTGCCACTGGAGCACAAAAGCAGCCGCAGACAATAAACAAGTGAATATGAATGTGCTCCAATAAAACTTTATTTAAAAAAACAGGTGGCAAAGCAGATTTAGCTGATGGCCAGTTTGCTGACCCCTGGTGTGTGTGTTTAGGAGCCTGTATAAACACATGAAAGAGTCCATAACCAGTCCATACACTGGTTATCTATGAGAGGCTCATCACTTCCTTCTGAACTTGGTGATATTTAAATCACTGCCCAAGATATTCAATATAAAGTATCAGAATTGTGTGGAAAAACTTATCTGTAACTCTCCAATGCAGCTTAACAATGTTGCTTAAAAAAAAAAGTCCAATTGATTCCCAAATCTAAGCATATATTTATGTCGACTATCCCCATTTTTTCCTGCTCCTTTGTTTAATTCAAAGTTGCTTCATGGACCAGTTACAACTGCTAAGCCCATAAAATTGCCTTCCAATGTCACTGTACTTCTAAGGTGACACCACTTTTTCTGACCGTCAAAAGTAGTCATTCACTATGCCCCCTATTTTGATACTTATATTTTGAATAGCTTTCCATTAAATAGACATGAGGACTTCTGTGAGGATCAAATGAGATGAGGCACATGAAAACGCTTCACAAACATTTGGTTAAATTGTAAAATGTGTGTACCTGGCTATGAAGCAAGTTGTCTTCCTGGGCTGAAGAAACTCCAAGGTCGCCAGAACCGGTTTGGCTCCAGTTGCTAGGGAGAGGAAGCCAGGTGTTGCTATGTGATTGTAATTACCTGGCACCCACAGCAAACGTTTCTGGGCTGGGCTAGGCTGTGGGCCACATTTTGTGCCATGGGGTCTTGGCAGCATTGGCTGTGATTTGGTGGGGTGTCACTCTGGGGTGGTGGCAGGGCCTGTGTCCCACTTGGGGGAAGCCGAGTGTTGGTTTGTTGGCGCCAGGTTCGTGGTGCCGTTTATTTTTAAATGGCCAATGTACATCATGGCAGCTCCTGCATTCAGCATCTTCCCCCTGGTGGTCAGTGCACGTCATAGCTACCGGTTGGATGGACACTTAGCCTTTTATATATATAGATACCTATATAGTAGATATTAAAGAATAGATGAAAACAATGAAATAGAGGATGAATAATAAAACTATTCAGTACATTTTAAAATTGATAGTATGTGGACATGATGATAATGTCACTGAAATAGCTATATTTTTACATAACTGTATTTTGTACCAAAATACTTTTTGTTTAAAAAGTAACAAAATCTCAATATTTGTGGTAATAAAATCTTCAATAGCCTACTATGCAAATCGTCCCCTCGACCAGGAGTTTGACCAGGGGGTGGGGCCTGCCAACCGCCCAGGGCCCCTCGCCCTGGCTGGAACCACCTCCAATCAGCCTGCAGCCCCTCCCCCCAGCTGACCTCGCCCCGATGGCCCCCTCCCACTCCAATCTGGGGTGGGGCTGGACGGCCAACCTCCCACATCCCCTCCTGGAAGCCAGCCTGGCCCAATCTGCTCTGATTGGGGCAGCTGGCCAGATCCCAACTGTGCATGAATTCGGTATTGTGTGTTCAGCGCCCCCAGTCATGTCTCCTTCCATCACCATTTATCTCCCCCCTATACCCTCTTCTGCCCCCCCCACCCTATAATCATTATTGTACCCATTGTGTGGATAAGGAACCTGAGACCGAATTGTGTTACATAATTTGCCTTAAGGTCACTCAGTCTGCAAAGGGACTCAATCCTGTGACTGCCTCATTCTAAACTGCACAAAGTTGCCACTATCCAGTGTGGTCCCCTACAAGGACAGGGTCCCCAAAAACATCCTTTTTGACCTCCAGAAACCCCCAATGAGCAGACCACAGGACTACCAGAAGGTCACGAAATGCCTCCCAGCCACTGACATAGGCTCCTGAAATCATTACTACCTTCATCGCCAATAAATGTGTCTCAGAGAGTGTGGTTTCCACAGGGCCTGAAATAACTCCCAACACGGGATTCCAAATAACGCCCCCAATGGGAAACCATCACCTATCTGCTCAGCTGCCAATCACTGACCCTTACCCTGTCCACAGGCACAGCAAGGAGAAACCAACACTGACCCTACCACCCATCCCCAAAGGACCCCAACACTCAGTGCCAGGGAGCAATGCAGTCAACTGGTTCCCATATGCTACCCTTAGCACCCCACTCTACCCATTTCATTAGGTCCCCAATCACTGCCCCCCAGCGGAGTGTGTCACAGTGTGACCCTCAAAATCCTCCAATCACAGAGGCTCCCGCTCCCCATCAATCACTGCCTCCTTCAGCGCCTCACTTCCCCAAATGTCCTCAAGTAACATCGACTTAAGGCCCCTTAAGTTGCGCCTCAAATGATCAAGTTTTATGGGACAATATAAAATCTGATCATTAAAGTACACTTGGAATTTGTTACCAAAAAAAAATACTTATATCCATACAGAAAATACACAAGGAATGAAAATTAACGAGCCAATCTTCCAACTTCAATTCGAAACCCCCTCTTACCGCACAGAATCCCCACTGCTAACCTTCCACAGCACCTCCGCGTCCCTCAAGCAACCGATGGTTAGATGCAGTTGGTGACGTAAGCAAAAATGTTCTAGTGAGCATGCGCACAGTTCACCCCAAACCGGAAGTGGGTGAACTGTGAACCGGAAGTGGGTGAACTGTGCACACGCTCACTAAACCGTTTGAAGCCACAGCCTGCCAATGGTCATCATGGAGAATTACGGTGTCTCTCCATCCGGTGGTTCATTTTCTTTATGGGACTGTCTGGGCCCATTGGGATTATGACACTGGAGGCCGCCATTTTCAAAGAACTTTCATTCCATACAGCCAGAGTCTTGGGGTAGTCCTCCCACCTATTAAAACACCGGGATATATTTATTTCTAGGAGAAACTGGCATTGTATATTCTGAAAAAAAATACCTTTTTTCTGTATTGTCACACTGACCTAAGGCTCCGCCCTCAGAATCCAGGAATCCTGCCCCTTCTTCTCTCCCACCATTCTTTGCACAGAGAAGCTAATGGAGACGTGTTGGGAGCCCAATGGGCGTTGAGCTTGGCAGAACTCCCCTCCATCGCTAGATTCCGTTGGGGGGGCGGGGTGCAGCTGCAGAACCTAGGCTCTGAGCTTGGCTCTCCAGGGTCCAACTCGCTCTAGCAAGGAGGTTGCTGTCAATCTCACACACCAAACACAGGGATTGGCCCTCATCCAGTGCCCTGCAGGTGGGAGAAGAACATGGTAGAGACAAGGAAAAGGGGAGACAAGGAAGCACAGAGATTCTGCAGCTGACTGCCAGGGTTTGAAGCCAGATGTTCACGTTTCGGCAAGTTAGTTAACCAATCTGTACTTCAATTTTCTGATTCATAAGGTTGTGAGGATGGAATAATTAAACAAATGATCACATGCAAAATGTTTAAACAGCCCTAGTTGGTTTTGCTCAGTGGTTAGAGCATCACCCTTGGATTGAAGGGTTTCTGCTTAGATTCCCATCCTGGTCACGAACCTCGGTTGCAAACTTGATCCTGCACCCCCACTTGGGGCACCTGCGGGAAGCAACCAATGTGTCTCACTCAGATCAATGTTTCTCTCTTTGTGTGTCTCTTCCCTCTCCCTTCCATTCTCAAACTCAATGGAAAAAACATCCTCCGTGAGGATTAACCAAAAAAATAAATATTTAAGCAATGCTGTTACATAATTAGAATGAGCTGTTACATGAGAAAAATAAGATTTATTCTATTTCACCTATTCAACAAGTGTTTGTTAGGATTCTATGATGTGGTCAGGGGAAAAAAATGACTTAAGGTCAATGTTTGCAAAAGTGTGAAGATTTCAACATTTCCCCTCCAAAACCATTAGTAAATGCTTTGACATTCAGTTTGTTCTTTGTTGAATCATCATGTCATCATTCTTGTTGATTTTGTTATAGTAATAGGTCTAACTCTTCTGGATCCTTCCAAATACATGGCGCTGGCAAATTTTCCAAACATCACTTTTCATCCTTGATCTCATGAAATCTTGCATCTCTTGAGAAGGGTGCA